GCTACCACTACATCATAAAGATCGACATTGAACTTTCTCAGAAACCACGTAATTGCCGGCTCAACACAAGCCTTCGCACTCCGTTCAAGTGCTGTTACGTTCTGACATGGGTCTTCCTCCGCGATTGCAGTTACAACTGCACACACGTTAGGGAAATAAGAGAGAGCTTGACAGAACGCTGGGAAACGGCGCTTAGTTTCTCATAACAAGCAAAAACCAAAGTACCATCCCCTTCCAAAACGTACGTGGCTTTCATAGAGTGTTCCCCAACATCAATAGTGCTAGTGGTGGCAAGCTCAAGCTTCAAGTTCATTCGTCGCTGTGGGTCAGAAAGTATTGCTTGAAGTTGTGGCAGTAGCTGTGGGAAAACGTTTGCGTCTTCTGCCTCTTTTACGAACTTTGCGACATCTCCAAACTGCACCATCAACTAATGATACACCTCCCATTTGGACCACCATCTAGTCTCGCTGTACGACCTTGGTGTTTGACCAGTTAGATCCTTCCATAACTGGGCCGATGAGTAATTGAAGAACACGGCTGACAAGGTTTGGATTTTCAGTATTTATTCGAGAATGTAATCTGAAGCTGTAGAGATTGCGAAATCACAAACATTACCTAGAGATCCTTTCATTGAAATGAAAAATCTGGCAATAAAACTTACATTCGTCCAGCCTTGTTAAAACATAGAGTTATAAACTCGCCAACATCAAATAACCTTTGACAAATCCCTTGATCCTTAGACAAATCCCTTCTAAATCATACATAAAACATTTTATACTTTCGCTTAGCGCGACACGTGGCAAAACAAAACCATTACATAACGACGAGAGGGTCCATGAGGCCTTGCGGCCCCGAGTCCAGTCTCCGTGCGTTTGAGGTAACGCAACAATAACAGCTTAGCTTTACAACTATGGCGAAACATTCTAATCCAAAAGCCTCCGAACTCTATCAGTGTTGGGATCACTAAATGGTTTCCCGCGTTATCAAGTGTATGAGAGAAGCACAAGAAATTCAGCACCTTAGGGAATATAAATGCTATTCTGTCCAGTGCTGCTTGGTTCACGCTTGCACCGTCTCTCATGGCTGCGAGCAAGGAATTTGTTCTGACCCCGTAATCAACAGACAGGCACTGATTAAGAACTTGCGCTAGTTCGTTGGCATTAACTGACGTAGAGCAAACATCAATTCTCACAAGCCGTTAGATAATGTTTCAGTTATTGTCCACAAAACGAACTATTATAGCAATTGCTTCCCCTTGTCTAGTGCTGCCGTCAAAAATGACGGAAAGGTCCCTTGTCATGCCAACTTGACCAGGCAGTTCCAATTCTTGTTTAATCCGTTCAATTTCCTGTTTCAAAGCCAGGGAAACCTACAGTCCTAGACGAGAACTTCGATTCAAGTGAGTCCATAGCTGTTCATCTCGCATGTCTATTTTACCGATTGGGATACCCGCCTTCAAAAACTCACTGACAACTTCCAGTCTGTAGGCACATTTTTCCACGGGCAACGTGCTATCTTTTGAACTTCCCTCTCTACTGAATGCCTCGATTATGGTCTGGTCTTTAAATTTCGGCTCGGAGAATTGTCCAAGGTCATGCTCCCCCGGAAGATTTTCAAAATTAGGTCTTCGGAAACATGATTTCCAGAATTTTGAGGGAAAATTTAGGGGCTTCGACCAAACCACCCGAACCACCCCTGGATCCACCCCAGCTTTTGTCGACGTTAATAGGAAAACGCGAGTTGCCTCAAATATGGTTTTACGCCGTAGCAATCGAGATGTGGACCAATTGGCACCTTGATTCAATTTCGGAACATCTTCATGAAGTATTTCTTTTAGATATAACTGCAAGGCAATTCCAATTGTAGACTCGTCTTGCAGGTCCACAGTCCAGCAAACTTGCGTGGATGGCGTTGCAAGAGCGGGCAACGGTTGAGGAAACTTTTTCTGTTTCACTTTCGGCCTATATAACCACCCAAGCCGAGGTGTTCGAAACATCGTGGCTTATACCCATTTTTTTCTGAAATTGCGGTCGAGCAAATCAATTGAGGCTCACTGATAAACTTTTGGCATTAATTAATCGTAAGAATGCAAAGGTTTTTTTTCCTTTGTATGACTTGTTCGGCATGGCTTGTTTTTTCTTCCAATGAGTTCCTACGAGAAAGGTTTCTAGTCAGGTGAAGGATTGTCGTTCAAAAACAGCATTCAAAGAAGATGATTTTGGTTACTGCACTGGGGCTTGTCCTACAGTGGCTTGGCCCTATAAAGGAAGAGTACTGATACAGAACTTTTCTTTGATCTGCTACACAGGTAGCACCCGCCGCGCGCCGGAATCCTAAAAAATACGAAATTTTGTCTTTCTTGTAAAAAAGGGAAAGCTGACAACAGTAGGTGGCAATGGCGCTGCAAAATCATCTTTGGTTGCTACTTTGTGGAAGGCCTTTCAGGTCAGGCAGCCACCTCAGGTAACCATGCAGAGCTCTTCATTTATTTACTATGACGCTTCTTGTATAATTCATTTAAACAGGTCATTATCGATGGCATTGACCTTACATCCATCAATCTCCAAGATACTCGCCGGTCCATGACTGTTATTACGCAAGCTCCGGTGCTTTTTGGTGGAACATTAAGAAGGAAACTGGATCCATTTAAAGAGCACACAGACGCAAATCTCTGGACAGCAATGGAAAATGTGCAGTTGAAGACTCTTGTGGCAGGCCTTTCAGGTCAGCTCGAGTTCAAACTAAAAGAGTCCGGTGAAAACCTCAGCGTTGGTGAGAGACAGCTGGTCTCTTTGGCTCGTGCATTAGTTCAGAAGAGCAAGATCATCATCATGGATGAAGCCACTGTTAATGTGGATTTCAGGACTGACCGTCTGATCTAGCAAGTTATTCGTAACAAGTTCAAAGAATCCACAGTACTAACTATTGCTCATCGACTGAACACCATCCTGGATTACGACAAGGTGCTGGTTCTTGATGGCGGACGAGTGGTAGAGTTTTAGAACGTGAATTGTTGATTAGAAATGGAGGAATATTCGCTGAGATGGAAAAAAACAGGGTCATAGTAAGAAAACTTTAACTGACTCCTGCTATCTAGTTTCCAGCAGAGATGTTCTGATGAAAAATCTTCATATCATTTTCTTCGTCCTGTTGAGCAATTTAAAAATTTCATCTTTGCTATGTCCTAGAGGCCTACACGGCATAATTTCACTCTTTCACACGGAACTTTTTCACATTTCACTCGAGCGTATTAACCGGGCTTTTTCTAATCATTTCTTTCACTCAATATCATGAGGATATCGAAACGCTGTGCGCGTTCAGTATATTTCTTTATTACATTTGTTACTAACTGTACAATGATAAGATTACAAATTGTTTACGAGAGACAAGTGTTAACCAAGCTGGCTTTGGCTTCGATTACCATGAGGATTTGTGAGAGACGTTTTTTCGTGTAATTGTCGATCTATTTAGACCTGAATGAGATCACAATGGTAGCTGGCCTATTGCCTTTGACTCACTTCATAGAATTGTGTATGCTCATGAAGAATCCTCTGTTTTTTGAAAGACTTTACGTCAAAACTCATCGCAATACAATTCAAAGTATAGTGCTGAACATTTGGCAAAGAAAGATCATCATAGCTAGGAATTATGATTAGAGTAGTTGAGACAATAAAACCTACAATTAACCCAGACTTCAGGTCCATGACTGTCCTTTAAAACCGTTAAGGCGCTGTAGCCAACTGAGTCATCAAGACGGCTGAGAAATGGCTGTTGTGTGACCTGGTTAATTATAAATTACCCGGAAAAAATAATTTCATTAAAGAGAATTTGTACAAGAGGATGATTTTTTTAAAATGGGAATAAAGGTACCAATCAAAGAGAAATTGTAGTTCGACACACAACCAAAGTTGTGGTGAGTTTAGTGTTTAAGCGATCTCTGAACAAGGTAAGAAAGGAATCTGCTATCGTTTAATATCTTTCGCAAAAACTTGATGTGTTAAAAGACGGTCAAGTCCTCCATTGTACGTGCTAGAGCGGATGAATTATCTTGCAGAGGTGCGGTGTAAAGAGATTCGCTTTACGTTCATAGATGCTCGAACCTGATGTTTGAATATTAATTACATGCGCCATTCGTTGCAAATGCAAACCTTAAACTATCAAAAAATTTTCCTCGGAAACTATTTTTTGGTAAAGAAACAGAACACAGTCAAGCCTGTATTTTAAAAGTAGTCACCCCCGGGGAATGTTTGAGCCTGAAGTTTGAAGATTCATTTAATGCTTCCCAAACAATTTCATTCTTAGATGAGAGAGAGAGAGAAATGTTTTAACTACAATATGCAGAACGTGGCGGGTCACGAATGGTACGATAAAAGTAAACGAAGGCGTTCAAATCTATTAAATAAAGTCCATTCTGGATGAAAAAGAAACGGCTTTCCGGGGACTGCGTGAGAGTGGTTAACTTGTTTATACAAGTACATTACGATTACCATGGATGTCTCTCTCAGAAGTCACCGTAGACATGAGTGCCTAGTACGTGACCCAGTTTTCTGTTGGTAACAGGTAAAGCATTAGAACACAATATCGTCGTTTACAGGCTTTAGGTGATATCTTTTGCTTTTTAGGCCAAAGACTCTTAAAGAAAACTTTTTATAGACTTTATAGGAGCGGAAACAGGAGGCATCACCCAGGATGTACCGGAAAAAAGATAGAGATGGATCAGCCTCCTGCTTCACATGCCACCAATACTCCTGCAAGAGTCGTTTTGAGATGGATAGTCAAAGCTTCCAAAAACGGACGGACTAAGGAAAAACACGAGGAAGGAGCGGGGAGAAGTAGATAAATGATAAAATCTTCCCAAATCTACAAAAAGTAACCCATTAAACTTGAGCTTTTCGTTCGAAAAAGACACGATCTCCGTGTGATATTACAGCAAACAGTCGAACAAACCATCGCAGCTTTAAACCAGTCATTTTTATTTACATACAGTGCCTTTCCTTGCCTTTGAAAGTGGACGGAAGTAAACCCACGTAGATTAATCGTCGGTTGTTCGAGGGACAGCGCTATCCAGCGGATAAATTTTAACGATACGTACTGCCCTATCCACCAGAGAGAGGACTACCCAGTGGATAGCGTTACCCACCCTTTGGGGGCTAGAACTATAGTCTATTCTAAAGTGTACATGTGCATTTTATCGTGAGCGGTTTTTAATAAACAGGTGTTAGATAGTGTCAAATAATTGCAGAAAAATGTCTCATCAAAATGCCTCTTTCTTCCTGTTAAGAATTACCTTTCCTTTCTATTCTATCTACTCACTCGACGATTGGTCAGTTCATGAGAAATCCTGCCACAATTAAATCCCAAAGTTGTTCGGGTTCAATTTGCACATTATTCTCTAGGTTTAAGAAGACAAGGACACTGTTATTTACCAGCCGAGTTTAGTCTGTATTTCGAAAGACGGTGCCCTTTATATCCTGAGTAGCGGGAACAATGTTTCCTAATACGGAACACTTGGCTGGTGAAAACCTCATTGGGAAAACTGAGCATGGCTTACACAGTTCATAGCCAGAATTTTTCATAGCAAAGATGAAACACCTGTGCCTACACAACAAAATTCCTCGGCCAAATCCCTGCGATTAACCCTACATAGGGCAGTGTGTAGAGTTCTATAAGTTGCAGCTGTATGGTTTGTCTGTTTCCAAACCCGCAAAGTTTGGTAGGCACATTCCTCCAGTACTTTATGCCGATTTTCGATTTGTTCAATCCTAGACTCATCCATGTCAAGCAAATGACGCCCAAGAGGCTTCCACTTGTCAAGCTTCTGTGCCAAGTCTTGCAGCTCCGCCAAAGTGGGACAGCCTTCTTTAACTGTATCTGCTAAGATGATGTCCAAAAGGAAATCAATGCTTTGGATTTTACACTTTGGCCTTCTAGCCACACTGGAATACGTTTTAGCAAGTTATAAAATATGTAATTTTGTCTCTGGCTTTTAATTGACATTTTGAAACAGTGTTGTCGTGAAACTTATTAGCTTCCATAGGGTTTTGTTTTCTGTTTTATTTGTACAGAGTTCAAAGGACGTTTATGATTGACAGTTGATCACAAGGCTTTTAAATTAATTACTCATGTGCTTTCTGATTAAGGACAGTTGTGAATACGAGTCATCGAATAAACACGTTAAATAATTGTCTACGAGAATAATTATTCGACCAGTGTCAGTAACAAAAAAAATAGGTATGGAAAGGCATACATGTGTCTAGTGCTGACTAGTTGTTTCTACGCATTTTGAACTGTTGCAGTTATCAGCAACGTTTTCTTTAGGACTACTGATGATATAGTGTATTGTTGCTAATTAAAAGCGTTGAGCTGAACTGATTCTCATTGTGGGGTCTATAACATATTTACTCATTGCAATTGTAAAAAAGTACATAAGCAATGAACATTGATAACAAACAAGAGTATAAAAAGTAACACTTTCATCAACCAGAAACCGCTAATCTTTTCAGGAAACATAAATACTTTGTAATTTATATTATATATACAAGGCTAAAAGATTAGGAAAAAATTGTAAAAATGTTTAAACCAAACGTTTTCGGCTGTTTGCCTTCATCAGGGTTGATCATCACCCTGATGATGGCAAACAGCCGAAAACGTTTAGTTTAAATATTTAAATAATTTCTCTTAATCTTCT